AGCTTTACTTCTGATCTCGTAGTAAAAGGACAAAACGTAGGCGGTTGTGATAAGTGGGTTAAGGCTTCATATAACGGGGTAACGGGTTATGTTTCTGGTAAATATCTTACACCCACTCCAGTTATTACAGAATTAAAAGAAGAACCTGTAAAGAATTCTACATATAAGGTAGTAACTAATAGTGGTGTCGGACTGAGAATAAGAAACAAGCCAAGCACAAGTGGTGTCCAGGTTGGGTTAATCCCCAATGGAACAAAAGTAACGGTTTTTAGTAGTTCTGGTGGTTGGTGTTATCTTGAATACAAAGGTGTAAAAGGTTATAGTTCTGCAACCTACTTAAAAAAGATTTAACGAATTTTTAAAAAATCAACACAAGGGTTAAAAAATCTGATATAATGTCTGTAGTAGCATAGTATAAAGGTTCGTACGACGGTCTTTGACACCGTAGGTATTAGTTCAATTCTAATTGCTACTGCCAAGGGAAGTTTAAAAGAACCAATAGGTGTTAACGGAGTTCTCTTCCCTTTTAATTTGACACTTTTCTATTCATAATATTTTCTCCTTTTGGGGCGGGTAAGACACCCGCCCTTTTTATTAAAAATAATACTTGCAATAGAGAAGTAACAACAATAGCTTAAAAAAGGGGCAGTAATACCCCTAATTACAGGGAGATTTTAGGAAAATGCAAACAAGAATTAAGGAACACTTAGGAAGAATGTTAACGCAGATTGCTTGTAGCACTTCCAGGGAGTTTAGATCAGAACTAAAGTTTTACAAAAGAAATGGTTTTACGGTGATTACTAAGTCAAAAAACTTTGTATGCCTGGAGCGTGATATAGAGACAGTAGAAATTATTTTAATTAAGGGGTAAAACCCCTTTTTTATTGCCTAAAAATATTTTTCAAAAAACTATTGCAAACGGGATATATAGTAGTATAATACGAAGTATCAACAACAAAGGAGATTGCAGATTATGACATTATACGAGGCTCTTAAACTTGCGAACATCAACAATTATGTAATAGTTGCTTGGTTAGACGGAGAAATGGAAGAAAAAGTTTACCACTTTTTGTATTATCGTGAAGACTTGCACAACAGGTTAGTTGAAAGAATTTTTATTGACAATGGTATTTTAGGTTTTTATATTAGCAGTGAGGATATTACATAATGAAATACACAAAATCTGATCTTGAAAAGGCTTATAACCTTTTAATTGGAAGTTACTGTAAAAATTCCTGTTGTGTTGAGTGTCCATCTAATAGTTACTGTTTTAAGACTGGAGATACTAAAGGCGGGAGAGAAAGAGTAAAAGAACATTTCATTAAATTAGCAAAGGAGAGTTAATATGAAGAAAGTAGGAACTATTTACACTCGTAGTTATGAGGAATTTTATAATTCTTGTAACTGGTATCGAAAGTTAGGCTACAAGTTGACCGCATACGGAGAAGACTACCAGGTATTCGAAGACAGAACAGACAGAATTTTTATTTTTGTAGATATAAAGGAGTAAATATATGTATAATTTAATCGTTTGGTTATCAGTTATTATTATTGCTTTAATCGTTGTTTTCGTTGCTTATGCACAAGTTACAAACGAGATTATTAAATACTATCAGGAAGAACTTAAAAAGGCAAGGAGAGGTGATAAACAATGATTAAACTAATAATTTCAGTTATCATCACAATAGCAATAAATATTACTTTATCGTTTTTAGTTTCAAAAGGAACATTTGACTTTTTTACTGATTACGAGAGAAAAACAAGAGAGAGGAGAAAAAGAAAATGAAACACACTTTTAGTTTTAATGATATTGATTGTTTGAGTATTTTAGACGCTTTGAATTATCTGATTAAAGACAAAGAAAGGCACACGGTAGACAAGCAAGACGCAAAAATGATCAGAGATAAGATTTTAGAAACAGTTAAAAAGGACTTTGAGGAGGTTAAACAATGACACTTGAAAGAGTAATTACCATTCTGTTAGAATGTCTTGAAACTACACAAGAAGATAAAACAACCAAAAAGCCTTATTCAAGGGCGTTATACTGGACTTGGAAAACAGTAAACCGAGAAGAAGAAAAGGAGAATAACAATGAATAAATCAGACAGAATAAATCTTAATGTAACTATTGGTGTAATGGTTGTGGGTGTTTTGTTACTTGTTAACCTATTTATCGTATTATCAAAGGGTTGTTTATGAATTGCATAATTTGTGGTAGCAAAACTAAAGTATGGGAGAGTACAACTAACGGAGTTGGCACTTATAGAAAGATCAAGTGTACCAAGTGCACTGCAAGGTTCTGTACAGAAGAAAAGATAATTGACGACTACGACGAAGACTTAAGAGCAATACTAACGGTATTTTACCAGACAGAAAACAGAAAGAAGAAGAAAAGGAAAAATGAATTGTCCAATTTGCGGTAGTAAGACACTCCCTAAAATGGGTGTACACGATACAGACAACCATATAACGTATAGAAGACTTATTTGTAACCATTGTGGTAGTCGGTTCTGGAGTAAAGAATACCTGGTATCTAAGGAAGACGAAGACTTCAGATATGCGTATAAACAGAAAGATCTAAAATATATAAGGAAGAATAGAAAATGAAAAGTTGGATAAAAGTAAAGTTCGGTGAAGAAGTATATTTCTATTGCCCAAGGTGTAAAACCCAATATGAATTTCCGACTGGTAGCACACCCGACAATGCTAATTATAACTACTGTCCTAAATGTTCAACAAAACTATATTGGAAAGACACCGAAGAAGATTTATATACTGAAGAAGACGAAGAAGAAGAATTATAAATAAGCAATAATTAACCCCCAAGAGATTATCTTGGGGGCATTTTTTTGAGGTGGAAAAGTTGTCTGTTTTAATAACACCCGTACACTTTATCTATAAAAAACGTACTACCAGAAGTTCTGTTCTGATAAGCCATTACAAGATTGTTTCCAGAGTGTTTTAATCTGAAGGAAATAAAGTTAGCGTCGTTAGACAACTGGTAAGCAGTGTCCGTGTCCGTAATTTCCATCTTAGGTATTAGCATTGTAACATAGTTACCATTTGTCGAAACTCTACCACGAATTAAATAATAATTGTAACTACCAGTTGCGAAAGTAACACTACCACTTGATAAACTACCACTCCATAACTCAACAGGTCCACTGTTCTTAACGTGTGATTGTTCAATATATCCGTTGTAAGTACCGTAATAATCTATCCAGTAGTTACGTTCTCCGAGTGTTCCGAATTGTCCAAGTGTAAACTGTATTTCTTCACCACTTAGAATTAGACGTTGGTTAGCGTTATCCCATAATCTTTGCTTAACCTTTTGTACTTTGAGTTCCCCGCCAACTTCAACAAGGTTATTTTCTGTTGGGAAACAGTTAAAACCCGTTGATTTCATTTTGCGGTCAAAAAACGCAATAGGCGTACCACTATCCAAGAAAAATGCGTATTGCTCAGAATAAACGCTTAAACTGTCGTATGCTTGGAATAAAACCCAAAATTGCTTGGTATTATTCAGGGTAATTGTTGTTAGTGTCTTATCGTATATTCTTGCCCAAGGTTGTGTAGCTCCGTCAACTTCCTTGTAACAGTAATATATTTTTAATTGGTTTTTACCACCTAAAGAACTATACTTAGCGTCAACGTATAAGTCCGTGTCTGAGTAGTAGTTATTATGTCTTCTTACGGAGTAAGTTAAAGAGGGTATCTCGTATGCCAATATGCTTAATTCTACAGTTTTGGAAGAGTTATAACCTCTACTGTCTGTTAAAGTACAATTAGCAGTTACGTTAGAACTGAAGTTTAACACTCCCCCAATTTCGCAACCAAAAGAAGATTGACTTGTACCAGAAACTTCGAAAGTATAAACATTACCGCCAATATTTATTGTTACCTGGTTAAGTGTAGCGCCCTTTAAGGCGGTTAGACTGTCAAACACGATCAACGGTAAAGAATGGTTCTGTACAAGTTTTGTATCGTCTTCCGTAACTGCAACCGTTGTAGGGTTTATATCGTGATAAGCAATCGTGCCAATAGTCGGTAGAGCTTCTGTAATCGTGAAGTTAGCGTCGTATGTAGACTGATACCAAGTACCACCAATATAAGTATTTATCCAGAACTTAAGCGTTGTTTCCTTGTCGTTAGGATAATAGTTATAAATGGTTTCTTTTTCTTCGTCTGTAAGTTCAAACGTATAAGAAACTCCCGTTTTTGAAAGTTCCCTTGGTTGTGTTAACGGGTGATTATCAGTAGCAGTAATAACGGTTACAAGATCGTCTACTTCTTCACCTAAAGGGTTAACATAGTTAATAACGGGGTTCTGTACGTCGGTAAACGGTGCAATACTAATAATACTTGCTTGTCTTGGAATTGTGGTTAATGTTACGTTAAAACCTTGTGAATTACTACTAAATCTCTGGTGCTTGATATAAGCAGAAACGTTAACTGTTTTACTTCCGTCTTGTTCGTGTTCTACTGTTACGGTTTTGTTTAACAACGTAGTATAACTGTTATAAGTAATAGTTTGTGAACTTGAAATACTTTGTGTATACTTTGTTCCGTCAATTGTACAGTAACAAGTACCCGTACCAGAAGTGGTGTAACCACTATTAGTTCTCCAGGCTTGTACTTTTACGTTGATTTCACTTGTATTAGTGTCTCTATCATAGCTATTTTCTGTTACAACAATTCTGTATTTAATAAACCCATTGTCTGTTGAAAAGTTAGAACTTGTAGCCAATTATATCACCACCTTAAATTAAACTATTTCCGCTTAATAAATCACTTTCGTTAACTGAGATAATGCCCACACCGTCGTTAATAAGTTCGTCGTTATCGTCGTATAACTGTATAGGAATAAAACGCATACGCTCCATAAAGGTTATTTCGTCTTCTACAACTGCTTTTTTCTGGTGGAACTCGTCTCTATTAACCCAAAAAGTGGGAGTGTCGTTTCTATCGTATCCCACAAAACCAACAGTATTGTTCATAATAACGTATGAACCGTCTATACCGTACATTTTTAAACCATCTTTGTTGAGTTCCGTAATAAGGTTGTTAGAACTGTCGTAAACTTCAAGTAAACCATTCTGATTTAAGTTACTACCGAGTTTTAAAGTGCCGCCTTTTATCATATCTGAAGTTAGGTTAATTAAATTCACACTTTGACAGTTGAAAGTACCGTTAATTTCCCAAGCACTGTTGAAAGTACCACTAATTCCAGTGTTACTAAACCCAATGCCTTGTGAATTTATCCTTATTACGTTTGTAGCGGTTTCTTTCGGTAATCTGTCAACAACTAAGATGCTATCTCCGTTATAAATAACGTAAGAATTACCCAAAATTCCCATTATTTTTTGTTCGCTTTCAGATAATCTGTCGTTAAGCGTAATAGAAATTGTTGTATTGTTCTCTTCGATATTCTCTTTAATGTCGTTTCTAATAGATTGTATTAGGTTGTTTAAACTTGGTACAGTGTTACCAAACTGGACTTCATTATATTGTCCTAAAACGCAATCGTAGACATAAGACATAACTTGTGTAGTTACGTTTATTCCTAATCTCTCGTCAATTACCTCTATAACGTCTCCAATGTCTGTTATTTTCTCAATATTTGCAGAAAGAGTGTAGTTAATAACTGGAAACTGGTAAACATTTAAGTAATTTTTCGCTTGTTGTGTTAGATCTTCTCTCAGTGCTTGTAAGTATTGGTCTTCGCTCTCGTAGTCTTCCTGGTTTACTTCCTGTTGGAAAGAAACAGTCTTAGTGTATGGTAATTCATACTGAATGTCTGAGAAAACGTAAAGGTTGTCAAGCGTAAAACCGTCTTTTCCTACGGGTAACAACTTTGTACAGACTGCAGACCAGTCGTATTTAACGGAAATGTCCTTAAGATTTTTACCATATCTTACAGTTACTCCGTTATCTGCACCAATGGAAGAGAGAATTTTAATGTCGTATCCGTCTCTAACAAGGTGTCCACCCCAACGTTCCAGGACTTCGTTAATAGCTTCGTTAAAGGTTTTTCTTACACAACGGTAAGAGTTATACCCCGTAACGTCTGAGAGCGTGGTAAAAGGTGTTGCTTCGTCTGTAGCACTGTTTAAATGATCTAAGGCATAATTACAAGTGTTGTTTACGACGTAACTGTCTGCTATTAGATATTTATTGGTATCGTAGTATAGGTGGTATGCCTTGGCGGTTATTCTACTTCTTGTATTTTCGACAGTAACTATTCTAAACGGTTGTTCTCCTGTTGGTGTTGGAGCTACTACAATATTATTAGGCTTAATATAATCTATATATTGAATATCAGTTACCAAGTCTAAAAAGTAGTCTCCGTTGTCTACCTTGTTTACAGTGGCAAGGAGTGGGACTATGCCCACTTCCCCGTTACTCGTAAAATCTGTATCTGTAGGTGAAAATACTCTTAGCATTTTATCCCCCTATTACTTAATATATAACTCTTCGTACTTCTTGTGTATAAGTTCGTTTGCTAAAACTGTAAACCCGTTTTCAAAGTCGGGGTGAGTTCTGCAGTATTTCTCGTAATAATCACACATTTTTAACTGATTTCTGAAACTTTCCCTGGAGTGATATACTCCGTTTTCTATTTCGTCTGCAAAATTTAATATATTATGTCTGCAAAGGTCTGCTTGGTTCTCGTCGACTTTAGCGTTTAATACAGAAATTTCTTTTTTAAGCTCGTTTACCACGTTCTTTTTCTGGTCTCTACGGTTAATAAGAAGAATAACCAAACTAAAAAAGCCTTGTGAACCAATAAGAGCTAATATAATTGTTAACGTGTTTCCCATATCCTATTAAACCCACCTTGTTATTTTTTCTGCTACGATCTTAGTACAGTCTCCACTAACTGTAATTGTATTACTTCCCTTGTTTAACTTTAACTTTTCATAGTCTCCTACAATGTTTCTGTTAACAAAAGTCCCGTTACTGTCGTAAGCGTTCAATTGTTCGGTATCAATTGTGTAAGTCTCGTAGTCTTCTTCACTAAAAGTAATATCAAATAGTTCAATACCGTTAAGACTAATAGTTACTTCACCTTGTCCCGTTATAGTAAGCGTGGGTTTAGAAGTGGTATTACCGTTGTTGGTTAACGTTATTGACGTAGGATTATTAAAGGTTGTGGGTGTTTCTGTTGTTGAAAACTTGAACGGTTGACAGTGAAAAACTACTTCTCCTGTTTTGTATCTCAACAGTCTTTCCAAGTCAATTTGTTCGTAAATTATAAACCTATAATACTTGTCTGGTTCGTTAGAAAAGGTAACTACTCCAGAAGTATTGAAAAACTCTATAACGTCGTCGACATTAAAACCCGTTGTCAAAGCAATACTAATAGTTTTATCGTATGAACCGTAACCAAGTTCTGTAATAATACTACCGTCTTTCCCGTCAATTTCCTCTTCTATAATTCTTTTTGGTGGTTTAGTAACAGGGGACAACTCCGTTACGAGAAGTCCCCCAATAGATACCGAGGAAACACCGTTAATTACTACATAAGGTCTAATACTCATTTCCTCTTTACTCCTTAATTGTATACTAAGTTAGTTACCGTGTTGTTAACGAATTTACCCATCTTTTGACCGTCAAGTTCTACGTTAACTTCCGTTAATGCTTCCTTAAATGCCTTAACCATAGAGTTGTATTCGCTTGTCTGTTGTGTCTTAATACTGCTTGTAATTTTGGGGTTTAAGCTAAAATCTGTTGGTACAGAATTAACCATATCTTTAGATACCATTTTCATAGTATCCTCAAAACCAATTCCAAAACCTTGGGCAGTAAATTTACCAATTTCTTTAAACTTTCTCGACGGAGAGTGAATACCAAGAGCCTTTTTCATATCAGTAATAATAGTTTCACCGATTTTTTTAATTTGGCTTTTGAGGTCTTGCATTTTCTCTTTGATACCACCGATAAGTCCTTGTAAGAGGTTCTTACCAGTAGTTTTTAACTCGTCGGGTAAACTCTTAACCTTGTCTTTAATCGTTTCAAAGATAGATTTTCCCGCTTCTGCTACTGAAGTTAAATTACTTGCAATTCCCTTAACCAGTGCCAAGGTGATCTCAACACCACTTGCAAGAATTGACGGTAAATTAGTGATTACTGCTTTACCAACTTCGTAAATTAGTCTTGGTATCATAGCCAACAGTTGCGGGGTAGCCTTGATTAGTCCATTTGTAAGAGCAGTGATAAGCTCAATTCCACTTTCTAAAATCAACGGTAAATTTTGGATAACAAAATCTGCCACTTTTCCCACTATTTCTGGTATCATATCTAACAGAACAGGCAAAATTACTGAAATTCCCTCAATTAAAGACATAAGTAATTGACTTCCGAGTTCCAAAATCATAGGCAAATTTTCCAAAATTAAATTTACACCGTCTGAGATTGTCTGCGGAATAAGACTTATCAATTGGGGCAAACTACTTATTATACCACTGGTTAATTGATTTATCAAGTCAATTCCACTTTGTATTAAAATTGGGGTAAATTCAACAATACTTGTAGCAATCTTAGGTATCCACTCAGAAATAACGCTTATTACCTCTGGTAAAATACCCATTACTGAAGTAAGAACACTTTGTAATGAACTTAATATAATTGGTATTCCAGTTTCAAGTAAACCAGGTATTTCTCGCAAGATTTCGGGCATTAGTTGTTCAAGAAGTCCCGTAACAAGTTTTCCAAGTCCACTAACAACGGTTTTAATCCTTGGTATAAGATTATCTCCGACTGTTAATATACTGTCAACGAAGTTATTGATTAAACCATCAAAGTTAGAGCTATCGTCTGCAACTCCCGTTAACAAGTTTTGCCAAGCGGACTTCATTTGATTAACGCTACCAGTAATGGTTGTACTTGCTTCTTCGCTTGTAGTTCCAGTAATACCCATTTCGTCTTGTACTTTGTGAATTGCCAAAATCAACTGGTCGTAAGATACCTTTTGGTCGAAGTTCTTAACGGTTAAGTTTTTACTTGCTTTGCCAAGAATACCACTTGCCTTTACCAAGTCTACTGCACCTTGTTTACTTCCCGCAAAACCGAGTTTTAAATTATCAAGTGTCGTATATTGCCCTTTAGCGAGGTTTTTATATACCGTTGAAACTTCTTCAAGGCTTGTACCCATCTTGTTTGCGTTATCGGACATATCTTGAATAGCCAAATCGGCCAATTGTGCGGACTTTACAGTATCTCCACCAAGTCCACTAATCAAAGAAGCAGAAAAAGCAGTTACCGTTTCCATATATTCGTTAGCAGACATACCCGCCGTTTCAAATGCCCTACTTGCATTTTGCCCTACAAGTCCCATAGCTTGTGGACCAAATAAAGTTTCTATACCGCCTTTAAGTTGTTCAAAATCTGCGTAACTTGTTATAGACTGTTTACCAACGTCAACTAATGCACTACCAATATTTTTAAGTCCGTTTAATGCACCTTTAATTACGTCTGAACCAAGGTTAGCCAAGACACCTTTAAGAACAGTAAAACCACCGTTTGCACTGTCATTAGCCTTTTTACCAGAGTTCTCTATTTCGTTTCCAAGTTCTTTGGTGCTTTTAGCGTTCTTCTCTTCTTCTTGTGTCAACTGGTTAATTGTTGACTGCGTTTTATTGTAACTTGCTTGTGCATTGTTAATTTCTGTCCTTGCTTTGCTTAATGCTTGGTTTTGACTGTCCAGGGCACTAACGGACTTTTGATACTCAGTGTTTAACGAACTAACAACTTTACTTTGTGCCTGGTATTCGTCGGAAGTCTTACCGCTTGTCTTTTCGATCTCTTGTAGCTTGTTAACTTCTGTCTCTAACTGTTTGGATAAGTCCGAACTTGCTTTTTTGTTAGTCTCGTAAGCAGAAACCATAGCATTGTAGTTATTCTTTAATACTCCTATTTTTTGTGCCTGGAGTTCTAACTTCTTTGTTAAAGTTTCGCTTTGAGTTGTTAACGCTTGTTGTGATTTATCGTTTTTGTCAAACTGAGAAGTTACCGCCTTAATTTCGCTATCAACTTCTTTTAAGTTGGTTGTAATTTGTTTTAGTGCTTTTCTGTATTCGCTTTCACCTTGTAGTTTAATTGAACCACCGAAAGACATTTACTGCACCCCCTTTTATAACCACTCGTCGTTTTTATTATTTTCTTTTTCTATTTCTGCGTATGTTTTCCTGGAAAGTGTTAACAATAGTTCGGTATCGAAAGTGTCCTTGTATGCTTGGTACATTCTAAGAAACCTTTTAATTGTTAATCTTCCACTGTCTTTAATGTTTATATTTAATCGAGAAGAACAAATAAAGCGTATCCAGTCAAAGTTAATTGGCTCTGTTTCTTCTTCGTATGTTTCTTCTCGTATTATACGTTTGGGTTTTCACCCGTGTTAGTTGAGTTAACTACCGTTTCGTTTATCTTTTCAGTAACTCTGGTTAATCCTACTTCAGTAAGAAGTCTTCCTACTTGCTTGTGGGTAAACTTAGGTTCGTTAGTTCCGTTGTCTTCGTTGCTAATGTCAATTCCTTCGTTAATCATTTCGGTAAGACCAAAAATAAGTGCCTGTATGTCTACTTCTTCTCCTTGTCCGTCTGTAAGTTCTCCCCACTTTTCAATAGTTCCGTATTTTGCCTGGAGTTCTTCCATTACATTCAAATTGAATACGATCTTATACTCTTTTCCTTTATATTCTATCTTTCCATTAGTATCTATCATTCTATATTACCTCAAAAAAATACTATTATAGTAATACACCCCCACTTATTAGGGTGAGGGTGCTAACTTGTTTAATCCTTTTATTCTGCGTCTTGCTCGTAGTAAGTTCTACTTGCTACAGGTGTTGTGTCGAGTGCTCTAATATAGTCTGTACCATTCTTGATAAACCAACCTTCGTTTAAGGGGTTCTTACCAGTTGTGGAAGAAACTACTGTATAGGTATGTTCAACGGGTGAACCAAGAATACCCATAATATAGTCGTAACAATCAGACTTTGTAGCGAATGTCTTGGAAGTTGACCAAGAACCGTTAGCAAGTGTACTAATCTGTCCTTCAATTTCTGGTGTCTTGAACTCTACGCTCTCTCCCCTTGTGGTGTCTTCTTGTGAAGGTTCACCGAACTTTACCTTGTAAATAATTTCTGCTTTGTAGATCTTAACGTTGTTAACCATCTTAACAACAATTCTTGCCAAAGCAACGTAGGGTGCAACGTCTCCAGAGTTTCTTACGACTTCACCACTTGCGTTAACTGTATGTCCCAATACGTCTGCAAAAGTTGTTTCTCTATCGTCGTCTACTCCAAGGGTAACTGTACCACTCTGGAAGGAAGTATCACTCTCCGCAAGTACGTCGTCTGCATAAAGTGAAGCACTGTTATTGGAAATTGAAACGTTACAAGATACCGCTTTACCGAAAGACAAAGCACCACCGTAAGAGTAAGTGTCTCCGCTCTCAGTGAGCTTAGCATACCACAAGTTATTTAAACCAATTCTTGCCATATTTTAACCTCTTTCTTTCTTAATTTAATTGTTTTTCACAAAGTTTTATCTTGGTATCCTTAGATCAAATTGTACGGGTTTTGCAAAACATACCGTCTTATGGAATAGTCCCGTGTCCTTTTCGTACATATCTGCACTGTCTTTTGAAGTTTGCCAAGTCCACCCGTTGTTAGTTAGTAAATCTATCATTTGTGCCATTATTAAGTAATAGTTACCTTTAGAGTAAATATCAAAGTCATAATAAGCTACATAACCCAATAAGGTGTCGTCTCCGCTATAAGAGTTGTCGTTATTCCACGGAGTATAAACTATATATGTTTCTTTACCGCCCCCGTATTGTAAATAACTAACTGGAATAACTACGTCGTCAACGGTAAAATTGTTAAATAATTCTTCTATTTCGTCGTTAAACATTTACTATCACCTAAATAATTTACCCCAATTTTTAGAAATTCTGTCAAACTCTTTTTCTTGTGCTTTTAACATAGCTTGTTCTATTTGTGCCTTATTAAACGAACTACGCATAAAGGGTTGTTTAGGATATGGACTGTTACTTCTTCCGTATTCAAAAAGGTTAGCTACAAGCGGAGCGGGTGTTTTCTGTCCGTATCTGTTAACAAAATAACCAGATATAACTACTTTACAGTTAGTTGCACCGTCGGAAGGTGTTTTATACGCTCTTGTTACTTTAATATTGTCGTTTCCTAAACCATCTTTTAACGTTTTGGGCATTTTAGAGGAAACATTATTCTTAACGACTTTTGCACCTTCAGTAACCATTTCTGAGAGCATTTTTTCCGTATTTATTTCCAACTCTTCAAACATTTTTACAACGTCGTTAGAAAGATCGCCCTGGAACTTAGCCATTACTTCGTAACCTCTTTTGCCTGTATTTCGAGTTCTACACACTCTTCGTTAATGTTGTTGAGATATTCTATAGAATACATTTTACCGTTGAATAAAACCCACATATCACGAGTAATAACGGTAATTGGGTAACGAATGGTAAAATTTGTGTACGCTTTTTCGAAGTCTGAACCGTTGGTAATAAGTGTATATCCCCTTGTCGTTTTCACTTCTGCATAAGTAGTTAATACTGTCTGCTCCGTAACAACAGGGAAACCGAAAGCGTCTTTAGTCTTTACCTTCTTAATTATAAGAATTTTTTTATTGTATCTACCAGAGTTCTTTTTAATCATAACAAGTTCACCGAGTGTGAAGAGAGTATACCTTCTACAACCTTATTTACGTTGTTACTCTCAACGTAGTAACTTCTATTGTCCCATAGATCTTGGCAAATAACCATAAGTGCTAATGTTATGTCGGGGTACAAGTCTAACTGCTCTGTAGTAAGTCCTGTATAGGTAGTAATATATGCCTTGGCACTTGCAATTATTGTTTCTAACAAAACCTGTTCACTTTGTGAATATTCCGTTAAACGGAGAAAGTCTCCAAGGTTACTTGGCGTAACCTCAGAAACCTTAATAATAGATAATGCCATATTACTTTACTCCCTTAACGGACTTTCTCCCCCGTGTGGTTTTGGGGTTTTCTTCTACAGGTACAATATAACCACACCTTAACAAGTCTGAAATAATATCTTGGTTTTTAAGTTCTTTAACTTGTCCCTTAACCATATTTTCCAGACCGCAAAATGAAACTAAAGCTCTATATTGCATTATCCTACTCCCTAATTAACTTGTTATTGTGTTGAACCCATTTGCAATACTGCAACCTTCTGGTTGTCGAGTGTCTTAGCGTCGAGTTCGCAGAAACCAAGAACTCCTACTGCGTGTTGGGGTGCGTATCTCTCTCTAAGAACCTCAATGTTAATCTCTTCTGCAAACTTAACACCAAGTCCAGACATATCACCGTAATAAATTACTTTCTTACCCGCACCAATGTCGTTAGCGTTTTCGGAAACGTAAACGGGTTTACCGAGAAGTGTCTTGCCAAACGGTGCAGAAATATCGTCGTTAAGCAAATATCTGTTTTCGCTATCCTTAAGTGTTCTGAGATAATCTCTTGTAGCACTTGACATAACCCAAATTGCGTTATCCTGGTAAATGTCCTTTACCTTGCTCTGAAGTGCAATAAGATCGTCTCCAGTAATAGCACTTGTAGAAGTCAAAGTCTTAACGTTTGTACAGTCGGAAAGTCCCGCAATCTTCTGAGAAGTACCGTTAATAAGTTGTCCTTCAATAAACTTTGCGATTTCATAAGCCATTCTGTCAACTACGAAACCTACAAGGTCAAAATCTGCGTTATTGATAAGGGACTTGGAAACGATAGAAAGAGCACCAATTACAAAACCTTTAAGTTCTACCTTGGTAAAATCACCAGTTGAAGAAGTGAGGTCTGTAAACTCTGTAGCGTAACCTACTGATAAACCTGTACCAGTTGCGGGGTATACGGGAATTTCGAGATTGCCCTTAACATTAAATCTTGTAGCCTTTGCCAAAATAGGGGAAATGTCGTATACCTTTGCAATAATTTGCTTTGCTATTGTTTGAGGAATAATAGAACCGTTGTTACCAAGTGTCATTTCTCCGTTACGCTCGTTTACAACACCTCTAAGGAAGTTATCGAATGTTCTATACTCGATTTCCTCTACGCTTCTTGTTTCCTCTACTGTCTGTTCGCTCTTGATTACTTCCATAGTTTCTGTACTCCTTGTCTTGTTAATTTCGTTCATTGTTTTGATTGTCTCTGAAATTGTTGTTACCTTGCCTTTAATCTCGTTAAGTTCGGTAAGCTCTGTTTCTGTCAACTCTCTCTTTTCAAGTTCTGCAGTTTCAACAATAGTGTCTGCTCTTTCAATTAGAGAGTTCATTTCTTCGGTCTTTGCTTTCTCGTTGAGCATTAAACCACTCTCCTTTACTCAAATTGTTTTACAATTTCCTTTAAGTCGGAAATTAAATTTTTATACTTTGTGAAGTAGTCTTCACTTGGTATCGTGTTATCGTCTGTAGTCTCTTCTGTAGGCTCTTCTACGTCTTCTACAGGCTCTTCTATTGGTGTTTCTTCCGTTTCTACAACGGTTTCTACTACCTCTTCTGTAGGCTCTTCTACTGGTGTTTCTTCGTTAGTTGTTTCCGTAATAAGCTCTACTTCTTCTTCGTTCTCGTCGGAAATGTTAATAGGCTCTTCGTCGTCTCTAACTTCTACTAAACAACCTGTATAAGCGGGTGTTTTACTTCTATCAAGTATGGAGACTTCGTATAATTCCAGGTCTTTAACGTTTCGAAGTGGCAATTTACTGTCGTTGTCTATTCCGTTTTCGACTTCAAGATCTCTAAAGCCAAAAGAAAAACCCGTTAATTCCCCGTTAAGAGCTTTATTTACCACTTCGTCGTCGTCAATTACTGCGTTAAACCTTAAACCAATATTATCTTCCGTAAGTCTTACGTTAGTAAGTGTATCTCCAAGCACTCTATCCCAATTGTGGTTAAGTAAGCACTTAATATCCTTGTTTCTTTCCAAGGCTCTTGCAAATGCACCGACTTTAATTTTCTCTACGAAACGACCAGTTCTGCTATAAAGTGGTTTAGACAATCTTTCGACTGCATTAACATAACCATCAATAACTACAGTGTTGTTTCTTACTTCGATTTTCACTCTATTATACCCCCTTCCTTGTTATTTTCTTCTATTGTGTTTTCGTTAGTGTCAATAACTGTTGAGGTATTAGGAACAAAGTATTTCTTAGTGTTAATGTCGTAGAGAACTGAAGACAAGCCAACGTTAATTACGTCAAAGTCTGGTATATCGTTTAAATTTTCAAGTCGTCTGATCTCGTTAATTGTAAGAAGTCCTGTTTCTTTTGCAACTTTATAGGTCTCGTAACGTTCTTTAAGACTTGCCTTTATAATTTCCTTGTCGTCGAACTTGAAAAAGTAGTCTTCCTTTTCGCTTTCTAAGAGTAAATCTCTGTTAAGTGCAGTTTCAAACGCAACCACAATTGGATAAATAGACAATTTGTATGTTTCTTCGAAACTATTACCAATATGGAACACTTCGTTAATCTGCCCACCAAGAGTTTTAATACTCTCGTTTAATTGCATTTCTACAGAACTATTACTTGCTTCCTTAAAGTCGATACCAGAGTTTAGTACAACTACGTTTTCTGTTGAAGAACTGTAAAGTCGTCTCCAGGCATTTTTTAAAGCGTTAATCTCGTCTTGTCCTAAGCGTCTTTCAGACTTCAAGAAGCCTTTTTTGTTACCGCCTGTTTTTACGTTGTTCAACTGGTATACTTGCGTCTGGTATGCAGTTTCAAGAGCAGTGTTAAGTTCCCCCATAATAGAAACACCGTTTGCACCGTTTTTTGAGTGCCTTAAAATCTTGATAAATTCATAAGGCTTGTAACTGTTACCAAGTACAAAAATACTATAATCCTTGTAAATTGGGTTAAAGTTGTGATTTATTGTTATTTGTTCACTATCAACGTAATGCAGACCAACTACCTTGTTTAATTTTCTACGTATATAGCAATAACCACCACCGTCTAAGAAGTAGTCGTATACCATAGCACTCTTTAACTGGAAACTGTCCAGAGCGTCTGAAGTATCACCGTTAAGAAGTCTTGTTCTTCTGTCGTCTTTAACTTCCTCTACTTGGTCTCCGTTGCGTCTGTATAACTTTACAGGCATAGTGGCTATAGAACTTGCTATTAAGTCAATATTGGAAGAAACAGAAGGAATTGTTAATACCTTTTCTCTTGTAAGTTTCTCTCCAGTAAGAAAACAACTTAAAAGAACGTCTGAAAGTGGCTCGTTACCTTCTGGAGTATTACGTTCGTTAGTCTGTACTTGTTTTCTGCTAAATAAACCCATTTAATATAATACTCCTTTATACCTTTATACCATTTGATAATACCATATTTTTACGCTTTTTTCTTACGTTACCGTGTTATATAGTTGTTGTTATAAAACCTGGATTGTAAACCCACTGTCGTTACCCATAAAATAGTCTTGTTGTAACAGGTAACAAGCGTTAATCGTACTTACAACCATATCAATTTTACCGTTTGACTTCTTCTTGTTAACGTATAAGTTCTTGTTAGTGTCGTAGGTGCACTTTGAGTTTAAAAAGTTGATCTCGTATAACGGGTTTTCCGTATACTGGAAGTCTCCAGACAAGATCTTTTCTTTTAACAACTTCGTCGGTGGGTGTAAAACGCTCGAATGTTGTCTTATCTCAATTGTATTAAGTCCCTTATCCTTTAATTTTTGTGCAGTAGAAAGAGCGTTCCAACGGTCAAAACCTACCGCCTGTATTTGCACTCCAAGTCTGCTTTCAAGAGATAAAATAAAGTCTTCTACTGTCTTATAGTCTATAATCTTGTTACCACAAGCAATAACTTTACCACCTTTTATAAGTTCTCTATAGTTTACTCTCTCCGTTGCTTGTTTTTCTTCTATTCTGTCTTCTGGTATGAAGCAGTAACTATCAGATAATATTCTGTTGTCTTCGTCAACTGCTAACATAGTAACAGAAGTGTTGTCGTTGGTTTCGGATAAGTCCATACCAAGGTATACTACTCTACCGCTCCAGTTGATATTATCTACTTTGCAAGTTTGTACAGACGCAACGTCTATATATGTTTCTGTTCCACTACCAGAGTAAATAATATTACAGTGTTTAGTAACGAAGTTCTCTCTTACGTTTTCTTGTGCTATTGCCTTATTTCTCTTCTTAAGTAGATCCTCCCAAATTTCTGGAATTTCAAGAGATACGGGGTTACTTTGTTTTAAGATTAAGTCGTCTGTTTCCCAATTGGTTACGTTGTCTGGTTCGTAAAGTAGAGAAAAGACCGTCTCGTCTTGAACTGTTCCGTCAAGCACCTTTTTACTATATGCCACTTCCTGTTCAAAAGGATTGTTAATTGTAGGATACTTCGTAGAGATTACAAAACCTAACTTATTAAGTATATTTAACTGTCCAGATCGCATACTTTCCAGGGCATACGCATTGGGTAAAGCTCCTACTTCGTCTGCACAAAACACGTTAGGCAATTTACCATCAAGAGTAGAAGAACTGTAGTTAAGTGGTGTGTACTTGGTTTCTGCAACGTTGAACAAAATATAATCTCTAAGTATTTTAAATCTTTGTTTGTCTTTGTACTTATACACCAGTGGAGAAGACTTTAACGTACTTGCTATTGCTTCTCTTACTTCTTTACTTAATGAACCGTCGGGTGCAACCGAGTAAAACTGCGAAAACTTAGGCTCTGTTAACATTAGTATAATCATAAGAGTTGCTACTGTATAAGACTTAAAGTTCTTTCTGCAGATTTCAAGTAGTACAGTTTCGTAACGTCTCTTACTTGGGTTGTCCCTGTACACGGTACACAACGACGCTATATAAACTAACCACTGGTAACTCGTAGTACACTCGTAAAGACTTTGACCGCACTTTAACCCCTTTGGCATTATCAAGATCTTAAGTAAACCTTCAATTTGATTTATTTTCTTTACTGAGATTTTATACTTAGGGTTCTTGTCTTCACAAATAGACATAAAATCTAACATTTGCTTTTTAACATACTTGGGGACTTCTGGTGCATTTATGCCCCATTTACAGTATTTATAAGCTCTGTTGTTAATCCTCTTGTTAGTTTCCATTTCTATTGCTCTTTATCGTCTATAAATTCGAAAGTATAACCATTTGTTTGGTGTGTTTTAATCAGTCCGTTTACTGCTCTTGATATATTACTTGTGTTAATACCAGTCTGTCTGCTACACTCAGAAATACTTGGGTAAATAATGCCCGTCTCTATGCACTTAACAGACTTTCCGTTAATTTCTTGTGCCTTGGTGTACATTTTAATACAGTGGTTTCTTCTGCGTTCTTTTTGTTCTTCGTTAATTTGCTCCGTCTGAAAGCGTCGGGAGTTTTCACCAAGGCTTAACCATTCCAGATTACTTACTGTATTGTTGTCGTGGTTCGTGTCCTTGTGGTTTACTGTCTCCAGGTTGTCTGGATTGTCTATAAAGGCTATTGCGACTAAACGGTGTGTCTTCTTAACTGCTCTTCTTCCGTTGTTAAATAGAGTAACTATGCAGTAGTTCTGTTTGTCGTGGGAAATTGTAAGAAGTTTTCCTGTTACGTCGTTTCTTACTCTTCCAAGCGTCGACACTGAGTAGTTCTCAAAACCTTTTACCTTCTTCCACTCTTCGTTAGTCTTCGTCATTATCTGAACTTCCGTTAATGATATTTAACAAAACGTCTTCTTCAGTGTCCTTTTTATCAGACTTACCGAAACTTTCCACGATCTTTAACAATACATTCATTGTTTTGTTAGCTTCTGAACATAACGAGTTATAACCTCTAATACAGGGACTAACTACAAAATTACTTCTTCCCTTAACGTACGTTTGTTCAACAACCGTTGGGGAGTTGTCTATTTGATCTTGGAGTTGGTTAATCAATTTCAGTTGGTATAAGTAGCGGTCAAACGTAGACTTGAAGAAGAAGTTGTCAATTACTCCTGTTTCTTCTGCTTGTCTGAGTATCTCGTTACCTTTGATTTCAATTTCTGTATTAGTCATTGGTATAAAACCTCTTTTCATAAAATTAAAGGGGCAGTCCCTATTCCACCCCTAAAGTCTGATTTCCTGTTTTTCGACAATATCCTTGTTTCATTCCGCAACTTGTCGGGTTTTTATTCCCCGTTTTGGCAAGTTTTCATTCCGTCGAAGTCAAACGCAATTGTCTGCACTCTTAAACTCCCTTCCTTCTGTTAAAGTTCCATAAAAAGTTGTGTGTGGTATGTGATGTATATGGTTAAGTACTCTGCGTTGATACCACTGCTT